TTTATCTTGCATACTCTCTCTTGCAATATCTTTTTTTTTATTTTAAAACCCTTTATCCAACCGTCCATTTTTTAATGGAGGGCTAAGATTGCCCCAATCACAATGTCACGCCTGTTTTATTTTTAATTTTTGCTTTTATAAACTGTTTTGATATCAAATTTTAGACGTCCATTCCAATATTAAACTTGCACTAACGAAAAATATAAAAACAAATATTTTCAATAAAATAAAATGACCAAAATACCCTTGAAAGTTTCAAGGGGTATTTGGTCATTATTTTTTATCGAAAAATTATTGTTAATATTTTTTATAAGTGCACCCCAATAAAAAGATGGCATGTACCAAATTTCATATTAAAAAAAATTGTATTAAAAAAATTAAAAATAAAATACTTTGAAACATCGGATCTAAGATCAAACAGTGTGTGACTCTCTTGATAAAACATGGACGGCTGGATGGTACGGAAAACATAGAACTTCTATATTGTAGGGGGAACATAGAAAGTTTTTCCTAAAAAGCATGCATCTCTCTCCCATGGTATCTCTTTTAGAAAAAGTGATCACTCTCTTAAATGCATTTAAATGGCACTATGTCTCTCTCTCTCTTTCCCTCTTAGGTATTACAGGAGGCAATGGACCCAGACCCGACCCATGTTTGAGTATGGATCCAAAATTTGGACTCAAAAGGTTGGGTCTAGGTCCAAGAACACCATTTGAGTCTAGGTTCAAGTCCATGTAGCCCCAACCCGAACCTGACCTGAATAGTTATGATATTTAAATAATATTTAACTAAAAAAACTACTTATAATTGTCATATTTAAATAGGAGGTATGTTATGGTGCTTACATTATGGAGTAATTTACCATTATATTCAACAATTTTTTGAAATTTATATACATTTGTTTTGTACATAGAGCTTTTTTTTAGTAATGATATTTTTCATCATTAGAAAGGAGTGTGACATCATCTACATATGGTGTGACATCATCTACATGGAGGACACTAGTGGCATTTAATGCTCCTTGTGAGTAATATCACACCCCATATAGATGGCATTATAGCTTCTTAATCACCAAAAATACTATTAGTTAAAAAAAACTCTATGTACAAAACAATGGTATATAAGTGTCTAAAAATTGGTGAATACAACAATAAATTACTCTATAGTGTGAGCACCCTAACATAACTCTTTAAATAATGCATATGTATATTTAACATAAATATTTCATATATTTAAATATATAGATATTTTGATTTTTAGTCAGGTCAGGTCTGGGACCCACATTACAATTTTGGGTTCGTGTCTAGGGACTCTAGACTCGGTCAGGTTTGAGTCTGGGCCCAATTACTAGCCCAATAGTATATTTTTGAGTCTCGTTGCTACCCTTATTGGGTATTTATCTTTATCTTACGAAAAAGCCCTTACATGCACTTAAAAGATATGCAATCTAGGGGTTGCAACAGGTCAGGTATGGGTCAGGTCCAAAATTTGGACCCATACTTGGAACCATTAGGCCCTAAGCCTAACACGTTAGGTCCCGAGTCTGGTCGGATCCATTGCCACCTTATGACTATGATTTTGGTTTTTGTTTTGCCCTTTCTTTTACTATCATATACCCATATACCCTATGACATTGTGCTTCTTTGTTTTGGCCAATAATATTGTAAATATTGCCAATATTGAGACAATATGAATACCTACCACACACCTAAAGACACATGATTGCCATCATATACCCTATGGTATTTGGGTCTAAAATTTAGACTCATACCTAGACCAGGGATAGAATTTGAAATGATTATATTCGAGAGAATTTAAACGTGGTACCAACAGGCGATAAAATGAGAGAGAGTAGACTTAGGTGGTCTGGCCATGTCTGGCACATACCTAACAGTGTCTCTATCTCTTTCTTATGTATTTAAGATCTCTTGCTCTCTTGGGTATTTATCTTTATCTTTAAAAAAACGTAAACTCTATTTTGTACATGCAATTTGATGCATTTAAAAGATCTCTCTCTCTCTCTCTCTCTCTCTCTCTCATGCATTTAAGATCTCTCCTTCTCTTGGGTATTTATCTTTATCTTTTAAAAAAATGTAATTTCTATCTCGTACATGTAATTTGATGCATTTAAATGCCGCGAAAGGTTTCAATATTTTCCCTACAGTATAGAAGTTCTATCATCCCCTTACCATCCAGCTGTTCAATTTTGATCAAGAGAGCCACTCACCGTTTGATCTTAGATCCGACATCTCAAAGTATTTTATTTTTAGTTTTTTTATAAAAATTTTATGAAAATGAAATTTGGTACATGCCGTATTTTCATTGGGGCACACCTATAAAAATATTAAAAATAATTTTTCGATAAAATATAATGACCAAAATACCCCTTGAAACTTTCAGGGGTATTTTGGTCATTTTATTTTATTGAAAATCTTTTTTTTTATATATTTTTTCTAGTGCGAGTTTGATAGAAGAATGAGCGTCCAAAATTTGGTTTCAAAATAGTTTATAGAAAAAAATTTAAAAATAAAAAAGTGTAGAGATGTGACATTGTGATTGGGGTAATCTTAACCCTCCATTTAGAATAAACGGTTGGATAAGGGGGAGAATAGAACTTCTATCCTGTAGGAAAAGCATAGAAAACTCGCCCTTAAAAGATGTCCACTCTGTTTCTCTCTCTCGGATGCATTTAAGATCTCTTCCTTTCTTGGCTATGTATGCTTTTCTTACACATGGCCTGACATCTTAACCATGCAGTGTTTTATGTACTATAAGTTATTTTTTAAAATTTTGATTTTGTTCTTATTTTTGATTGGCCAATTCTCTCGAGCGGATCACCGAACCGAATTACTGATCTGTATAGGTTTTCCATTGTGCAATGCAAGTCACTGATCCATTTTTTCGAATACTGGACTAAAGATAGCCGAGCATTAAAAATGTATATGGTACATGGCCTCTCACTTTGGCTTAAAACCCACCATATACCAAAGCTATGTTGGATAATAGGTCTAGTAACTCAAGTGAAAAGTACTATTGATTCTTAACCACAAGTTCAAAGGTGAGACAATGAAAATCTTCTCATAGTCTCAACCATTATCATTTTGTAGCAATTAAGTAAATAAATTTAGGTAATTGAATGATATTTGAGGGCCTGTGCTCCATGGGCTTGGCTTGCATTTCAAGCATAATCCGTATGTGGTTACTCCAGCTTCTTTGGAAAGAAGCATCAACATAGTCATAGTTAGGCCAAAAGGGTTGTTTGATAATCAAATCAAACCCTAGTTTGGAGTCCATCCTTGGGGCAATGTCCGTGTTGTTTCTAAATGCAGTGATGAGAACCTGCAATCTAACCCCAACTAACGCCTTCATGAAGCAACACACACTAAAATTTAGGGGCCCATGGAACAAGTGGCAAACTACCACTACTCGCCCTAGTGTTGTTTCTTACCAGGGTGCTAACTTTATAATGACTATTATAACCTTGATTTCCAAAAACCACCAGTGACTGAAAACCACGGCTTGTTTTGTACTTATTAATTTTATTTATTTATTTATTTATTTATTTTTATAATAATCTTTTATAATTACAATAAAAAAATAGTTTGTACATCAAGGGACACTTACTTCTACAATAGCGTCCTCTGACGGACAAAATATCTATCTTGGAAATAGATGTTACGAAATGATTTCCTGACAAAATTTTCAAATCCCCAGAGTTAAAATTATATGTCAAAACAACTTTTTTTCATGTTTTAAATTTATTTAATCTTCAAGTTAATACTTATCATTATTGAGATTATACTTTCCTCAAAATTTTGAATCTAAAATCTTCCAAAAAATAAAATTATATGTCAAAACAACTTTTTTTCATTTTTTAAATTTATTTAATCTTCAAGTTAATACTTATCATTATTGAGATTATACTTTCCTCAAAATTTTGAATCTAAAATCTTCCAAAAAAAACAGAGGCGACCGAAACCACCCCTTTTTGTGCTTGTTTTGTATTTATTATCTATTTTTATACTCTTTTTATAGATAAAATAAAGAAATAACACACTTCTATAATGACATCCCCTGACGCACAAAACATCCATCTTGGATAGATTTTAGAGAAAGGACTCATTTGAATAGATGAGTCGGCCGACTCATAGAAACCTTGTCCTTAATTTCCATTCAATGAACTTTCGAGTCGAAAGGGGTTGCTATTACAATTCTCACCGCCTTTTTACTTTTACCACCAACACATAAACAGAGGAAAATGATCCTGTAAGCCAGTGGGCTCACAAGAAAAAATAAGCCCAACGGTCTAAATTGAATCTGGGCCGATCTGACGATCACGGATATCTTGTAGTGTTTAAATTTTAATTATTTTTCTACAAATTCAAATCATTTGAAATTTTAGGAGTGTGTTCTTCTCATCAAGCCGCACCTAATAAAAATATAAAAATAACAATCTGCAAATATATTTTTGAAATAAAAATACCCCCGAAACATTACAGAGGTATTTTGGTCAATTTTTTTCATGTAAAATATTTTTTTGATATTTTTCAAAGATTCACCTACTTTTGATGAACATACATCTAAAATTTCAAGTGATTTAGATTCATAAAAAAAAAATTGAAATAATTTCGGACATCCATGATCATCAGATTGGCCCAGATTCAATCTGGGCATTTGGGCTCATTTTTACTCGTGAGCCCATTTGCTCAACGGTTCGTTTTCCATTTTTGTACTCTTTTTATAGATAAAATAAAGAAATAACACAGTTCTATAATGACATCCAAAACATCCATCTTGGATAGATTTTAGAGAAAGGACTCATTTGAATAGATAAGTGGCTAGGGGCTGCTATTGCAATTCTCACCACTTTTTTGCTTCTACCACCAACACATGAGCAGTCTCGCCACTCCCAAATAAACAGTCCTTCGTAGGAGTGCTTAGGGGCCCTTGTTGGTTGAGAAGTAGGGCAAGGGTCAGTAAAAGCTTTGTTGGGGGAATGGCAAAAGATGGTAGTTAGGAAGGAGAAACCAAGCACTTGTCTTCGTAGGAAAACAGAGAAAAACCTCAAATGAAGCTGCCCATTTGGTGTCTGAACTGAAAGCCCATTTCCCAACTGCCCTCCTTTACCCTCTTTATAAACACCCTTTTTTATTACTCGTCCTCAATCCATCCCTCTTATCTCTCTCCTTAATTTATCAGTTCCTTAATCCATAATCATGGCTCAACTACCATCTCACTCTTCTCCAAAAAGTGTTAGTGCTTGTGGACCTGCACACACTCATTCCTTCCTAGTTTTAGCAGTACCATGTGCATGCACATGGGTGTTTGTACGTGTGCAACATGTATGCATATGCATCCATGTCCGTGCACATACATGCATGCATGTGTACCACATTAACATGTTCTTTCTTTCTTTCCTTTTATTTGAATTTACCATCATGCTGTATCAATATATTCTATATTCTGTACTAACATATTCTAGTTATCGCAGGGTTCTAGCCCAAGTTCAAATTCTTCTCCACGGGGAAATTTTGCGAGTTCGAATCCAAAAAGACCAGGAAAATGTACCGAAACCCAACCATTCAAACTTCACACTCAGGTATGCCAACATCTGATCGTTGTAGTTCAAAATGTTTTTTCGTTTGCCAGACTTCTTATTAAGAGTCGGGTGTTTAAAAACTACAGCGTAGAGGGCTGTCTAAAGTAGAGCTCATGGCAAAATTGCAAGATTTGCTTGCCCAAGAGGCTAAACAGCGAGTACCTATTGCGCAAAAGCTTCCATTGACAACAGATAAATCAGAGGTACATCATATATGTGTGGATGAGTATACAAATCTTTGCATGTTTGCTCATGCGTGTGCGTATGTCCATGCATGTCTGTTCAGATGTGTGTGTGTGATTACTTGTTTAGCAAATAGTCTTGTCTTGTTTTTGTTGAGGGTTTCTTAGTTCTCAAAAATGACATTTACATATAAGTTATTAAAGTTGTTTTCAGTTTTCTAGGAGAGCCTTTAAAGAAGTCAGTTTCATGGATTACAGGTTTTGCCCAAGGGTCCAGTTAAAGAACAGACCAAGCCAATGAAAATTAAGCTTCACACACAGTTAAGAGCAGTGAAGCGAGCCGAGTTCAATGATTGGGTATGAAGAAGATAAATTGACTAGCTCAATTTCTTCATATGTATTAGTATTTTCACTCAAGTGTTGACCATATATCATTCATACTTTGTGTTATACTTTTTCCATGTTTAGTATTGAATTTTAGGGTTGGTAATTTCAATTTACTTGGTGAAGGGCTTCAATTTGGCTTGCTGAACTTGAAGTCACAAATGTAACTTGGTTTACAATCTGAAATATCCATGATGTGTTCTTAGGTTGCAAACAAGATTTATCTTCTAGAACAAGAGCGGCTCAAAGAAGAGAAGCTTCTTAAGGTATAATTTGAATTTTGAGATAATTTGCCTAATGCAACTTATAGTGAGATATCATTTTGATAATACAGTTAATGGAGGAAGAAGAAATTAAGATGCTGAGGAAGCAATTGATCCCACGAGCCCAGTTAATGCCTCTATTTGACAGGCCTTTCTTTCCCCAAAGGTATATATCCTCAAAGAATAGATGAGAAGAAACAAAAAAAACATTAGGTTCTCCATTTACAAGTACTACAACATTCAGAAAATAAAAATAAAAAGAATGATCGTTCTCGACTTATGCAGGTCGACAAGGCCCCTTACCATGCCCAAAGACCCGAGTTTTCACATGATGAGAAACCAATGCTCACACTGTGTAATACGCAGTGGACTCAACTCACTTCATCAGCATGTAGTGTAGAAAGCAAAGTGTTTTGAGAGGCTCATTGCAAGAACGTCTACCATATTTAGTGAAAAGATAAGAAAAAACAAAAAAGGAGAAGAAGAAGATCGCCACCAAGCTAACGACGAAGCATACTCGAGGCACAATTATAAACCTGTGATCTTGCAAATAGGTTGATAGAGCATGTCCATCTTCAGTGTGGGTCCTCTGCAGTCTGTGTGTTACAAACTATAGGTTTTCATCCTTTGGAGATGTACAAATGCAATGTATGCTTTTCTTAGAATGACCAGCAATCATGTACGTTATAGTAATCAATATGAGACATGATTTTAAGGAGTTTAAGCATAGAAGCATGTTTTTAAAGGAGTTCAATCCCATTTTTATTTGTATGCATTTAAAACAGACTGAGTTCCTGTTTGGATATAGACCATTTAAAAAGTAATAATATCTTTTTCCCTCCGTCCATTTAGAAGAGAAAATCAGTATAGCTTTGTTCATTCCACTTCTCATAGTTGGCCCCATTTTATAATCCTACTTCTCAAAGCCTCCAAAATATCTATAACTCTGATTAAAAGAAAAATAAAGTAAATTAAAAAGCTGTTTTTCACATATTTCCAAATGACCCCCTTACTGGAGTTTTTGGGCCGTCCAAATGGACCTTAGCATTACATTTTTAGGTTGCCCAAAAGATTATTTTTTACTCTTGTGGGAGTATATTGTCCCTTTATTCCCTTGGGCAAAACCCAATCTATGAGTAATCAAATTTTGGGACATAAGATCTTCAACTCATAGAATGATTTTGATAAAAAATAAATTCCTCTTGCACCTTCCATGTTTTTGAAAAAAAATAATGTCTCAACATTGACTAGAGACTATTTGGGAAAGTAAAATCTAAGTTTTAGAAAAACTCAAAATTCAAACTTTTTAAATTTTGAAAATAATCATCTAGTTATTCTTCCCAAAATTTGAGATCGAAAAAAATCCTAATAGGTTTTCTAAACGACAGAGCATGTATACAATACGATCTAACACGAGTAGTAGGATACACGCACGTTAGAGTCTCTAGCACGTGCGTCAACGTACATAGGTCCACCCTATAATATTTTTCCCTCTTTGGTGGGGTCTATTTTGCAATCAAACCTTAATATGGCGATCAAAAATTTATTCTGGTCGTTTCATTTTTGTGGCTTTTTTTTGTTTTTGTTTTTTGGCTTTTTGTGGAGCCCAATTTTATGAGGCTCAACTTTGTATACGGTTTGTTTTACATATAGATGTATGTCAATTTTGTACAATGAAACGCTAATTAGCGGTTAAAAAAACAATGAAAAATTACCAAAAAAAAAAAACCAATACTACGCTTTCTATGCAACTTACCCCCAACCAAACTTTTTTTCCCACGTTTTTTCTTCAAAACAAACTTCTATGCAAATACCCCGCAAGAGAAAAAGTTTATATTTTAGACCGAAATGCCATTCCTGTACACAAAAATGATTGATTTGACATTGACTTTGGACCCCAGTAGCGCATTGCTAGAGCGCACGATCACATCACTCCAGACAACTACTACATCGAAACTAAGTACTGCCGAACCGCCCTTTCATAGTGACGGAGTCCTGGAATCCAGTAACATCCATTGTCAAACCGCCCATTGCAACTGTCGGACCGCACTTTACACAGTGACAAGGCCCTACTGCCGGACCACATTTTACACAGTGCCGGAGCCTTACTACCGGACCGCATCCTATACAGTCCCAGAGCCCTACTGCCGGACCGCACTTACACAATGCCAGAGCTCCTATTTTGGTGGGATAGAGGAGAGAGAGGTGTGGGTAAGGTAAAAGTAAGGGAGGGTAGTTTAGGCATTTTTTATTTTATTTTTGGTTGGAGGGTATTTGCATAGAAAGTATATTTTGGGGAAAAAAAGTAAGAAAAAGTTAGATTGGGGATAAGTTGCATAGAACGTGTAGTCTCGAGGGTTTTTTTTGTAATTTTCCCCAAAAAAAAAAAAAACAAAACACAATTCCAACAAGCAACTCATAAATGGGAGGAAAATATGGTTTTCTATTTTTTTCAGGGACACGTATATTGGTAATACCCCTTCCACAGGCATGTTGTCACAAGTCCTAGACCCTGAATATAAAAGTGGACAAACATGAACCTTTCACTCTTGAATGGGTGAAGTTAAATAAACGACCATATACCCCTAAATTTGGTCTATCCAAGCCAAGACTGTCCCATTTAGAGGGCGTATATTATGTTTCTACAAGAGCATAGTCAATATCTACTCAGTTAGTCAGAAATCTACTTGGGAGGATTTTCACAATTTTTAATTTTGAAAACCACTAAAGAATCGATGATTATTCTCAAAATAAATAAAACATTCATGTTTTCAGTTTTTTAACACTTAAATCTCACCCTCAAAAAATTGGATGGTCTTTGTTCAATCTCGAGATATTATTACTTTTCCAATGTACAGAGAGTATAATTAGGAATATTTTTAGGGTGTGGCCCCCTTCAATCACATCATATAGTGCCGAAACATGTTGTTTCAACATCAAAAACCTTTGTGATGGCCTGAAATTTTATTTTCATCTCTAATTATAAAATTTAAAGACTTAAAAATAGTATAGATTAAGCCGATCTATGAACACTTGAAAATCTTCAAAATTGACGATCTAGATAACATTACAAGATGCACTATTTCTAACACTTGAAATCCATTTTTTCTCATGTTCATATATCTTGAAATCAAGATAATTGAATTGAGGGTTTCCAACATCGAAACAATCTCTTCTAGTAAATTTTTGGGACGTGCGTTGATTTGATTGTTAAGGCCTCACCTTTGTGTGAACTTTCTTTTTTGTTATTGAGGTCAATCTATAGGTTGAAGATGTAACATTCCCAAAACTTGGGGTCTTAAAATTAAGAGAAAATTACATACATACCCGTTATACTACGGTTACACCAAATAGTTTCCGTTATTGCACAACTGTCCGTTTTTTACCTTTCATAACGCTCTTTTTTAAAAAAGACAACTTTGCCCTTTTTTCGGATGTTGAACATACGAAAATGTGAAATTTTTGGATGTTCAACATCCAAAAATGGGCTTACAAAAAAAGCATTCAATTTATGCGGACAGTGTATTCACTTCGTCTTCTCTATTTTCTACGGTTTTGCTCATTGTTTCAGAGTGCTTCGTGTGTGACTGATTTTGTGTGCCTATTTGATCTTCTATTGGTAAAGAATAGTAGATTGTTCTTAGATATTGATTTTCAACAGTGTACGTTATAGCATTTCTAGGATTTTGAAGCAATTTCACATAGTGAAGGTATGTGGGTCGATTTTTTATATTTAGATTGCCACCTGATTTTTGTCAAGGTTTATACTCAAGCATACTAGTAATTTCTTGTGATTTTGGTATAGCTTAATTTAATTTGTGGCTCCATTGTGATTGAATTACATATTTAAAATTTGGGGGTTTTGAGAACTTGGAATTTTGTGGTATTTGTAGAACTGTAAATTACTTAAATTTGGGGGTTTATACTCTTAGATAGTCTTAAGCATATATTTGTATTAGATTTATTGATATCTTAGTAAATTGTTGATTTTTGTAGTTGATAGATTGAGTAGCTTAAAAATTAAATTTTATATGTGATTTATGGTTTTGGTACATATTTACTTTGAATATTTTGCAAAGTATTTAGTGAGTAAATTTATTTGAATTGTGATTTATGATTTATGATTCAAGTAACAATGACTACATTTTACAAAATAATGCGTATCTAGATTTATGATTGAAGTAGACATTTACTTTAGACATATAATTGTGAATTGTATTTTTCTACAATCTTTTTTGTTAACTCAATGAAAAATTGTGTATTGATCCTAGGGATGTTAATCATACATAGAAAGACATTTCTAAGTATAAATAAATGAAACATTTCTTAAAATAGCACCATTTACAGAGTAATCGAGTACTTCTTCTTTTGGATATTTGTCAAATAGGTTATGTGATTTCGATATTTTATCACTATAATTTGTCTCATTACGACTGATATTTATATCTATAGTTAGGAAATTCGTTTTCATGTCTCTTGTGATCCTGATTCTTTCTAGTTGATCTCTGATAATGGTTGTCTTATCAGAGAAATCCTATATATTTCGTGACTAGATTTATGATTGAAGCATATATTTAGTTTGAACATTTGAACATTGTATGTGATTTATGTGACTTATATTTTGAATAGAATAATTCGTGACTAGATTTATTTGATAGCGCATTTGATTTGTGACTTAGCATTATTTCATTGATTCTTTATGCAAATTCATTATGAGGTATTGCTGTATCGAATTAATTCTATTAACTCTTTATGCAAATGTATTAGGTTATGGTCTATAACACCAGTTCATAGTCTAAAATTTACAAATTTTTTCGTTTACTAATAGCATGTCATTATTGTTTGTTCATTTGTTATCCAGTAAATATTTGTATATGTAACCTTATGATTAACATGGTGACCATATGAGATTTCAGTGAATATGAATCGTTTACACCCCGATGGAGGATACCCAGGAGGTCCTCAGGACCCTAGTTTGCTGCAAATTCATCCTGAATCTGCATCATATTTTATATGGGAAAGACATGTATATGCATATATTCATCTGCCCTTTTTATTAATTTGTTATTTTACAATAAATTATATTCAGGCTCAAACAATTTATGAGAAGTACATGTATATGTATTGGGACTAATATGTTGTGTATTTATTGTATTTCAAGAGAAAGAAGAAATTAGAATTGATGAGAAGAGTTATCAATTAAATGAATAGAGATTAATAGAAGAGCAAGTTCAATTAGTAAATGCGTTTAAGTTGGGTCTCTTGTCTGTCATTCGGGCAGGCCGAATTGATCATCTTTTGGTCTCAACTAATGTAGAGAGGTGACGTTTCATTTCAACATTCATATTGGTGAGATCACACCAATACTATTTGATGTATACGAGATATTATGACTAGTTGTGGATGACAACCCAGTTATATGTCGTTCTATTGATGACCTGCGACAATATATAGAAGACAATTTGGGTATAGTCCCTGATGGCAACTTGACAAGCCTGAGGCATACATGGTTGAAGACGAATTTTAGGAAATTGCCACCTGATGCAAACCCTGTTCAAGTTTATAGATATACTCGAGCATATCTGCTCTTCCTCATCAGTGTCACCATATTCGCTGATGCATCAGTTTCACTAGTGCCAACAAGGTACTTACAGTTTTTTGAAGATATTGAGGGAGCGAGCACATATGCTTGGGGTGCTGCAGCTCTTGCATTCCTATATCGCTCACTTGGAAAAGCTTGCACTTTCAAGCGAAAACATTTTACTGGTTCAGCCACTCTCATGCATGTAACCTTTTTTTTTGGTATGTGACATAAGCGTAATAGTTTAGACTGCTTTCTTAATATATTTAATATTTATTATATCTTAATTTATTGCAGTGCTGGTCGTATAAGCATATTATGCATATGAGGCCCATACCGCATGGTATCTCTCCAAATATGCCTAGGGCCAAAAGATGGGAGCCACCAAAGAAATATCATGGCAATCCACATAACCTAATGCCTCCCATTAAACAAGAATTTGATAACCTCCAACCTAATGAGGTTAGTATATAATTTAATATTGATTACTTTCAAATGTATTTACCTATTTATAATTACTTTTATTGACTGATTGCATATGATATAACAGGTAATTCGGAATCCCTATCTCAAGCCTGATGAGGACATTTCAAATGATAGGCATCAGGCATATCAAACTGCAATGTGCATTACAACGCTGATATTTGACAATATTGTCGAGCCATACATATCATATCTAGTGCGCGGCAATTTGGAGCTAAATAGGGCATTCCTAGGAATCCCTTAGTTGTTAGTAAGAGGGCTAGCAGACAAGGTGGACAGCGAGATTGACGAACTGTGAATGCAGATAAAATCACTCACTTGTTGTCTCGCCATGACCGCATGATGCCTAAAATTGTAGAAGATACTGATAATGGGTTGCCTTCAAAGGAGTACAAGGCTTGGTACAACCTGGTGTTTTATCCTTTAATACATAATGTCGTTAACCCACCCAAAGACATATTGCAACCTCATATCTAAGAAGAAGAAGATGTGGTTTTTGCTCATGAACCACAATATATAATGAGACCTCGAGGTTATGGGGGCCAGTTGGTACGTTTATATTAACCTACAAATTCTTATAGTATTTTATTTACCTATTAGTTCTATGAAATTTTTTAAATATATGAATTATGTAATCTTGTTTGTGCATATTAGTGCAGTTCAGGCATCTACAATCATATTAGCATAGGCACTTACACTTAGACAGAAATGGTATCCGGAAGTTTATAATCGCATTAACAACGCATTTGTAACGTTGTCTAAGTTTGTGCTTGTCGATATGGGTGACGTAGAAGCCATGATGGAAGTTTTGCAACGTCAATATAATGACGAAGGTGTACCTGATGAGGCCAGACATGATGGAGTGGGTGAAAGTAGTCGGGTTGTAGAAGACTTAGCTCCATTCACATAACCTGCAATTGAGGAACCCATAAGAATAACATATGAAAGAAACAGTATCAGCCTAAGAGAAGCCAACCAGTGTAATGGGGTCTTGACCCGTGTAATGTATTGGAACACTTGGTCATTTGTCATTTTGACCCACCCAATTTGTTGAATGAATTTTGTATTGGTCATTCCTACTTTTGCTCAAGTTTTCCTTTCTACTTTCATTTAAGCCCTTACATATTAATGGAGTTTGTGGCTTGTTGTGTATTAAAATTGTTTAATAATTTGAGTTTCTCAATGTGCACATGTGGCAGGAACATGACAGAAAAACTAAACTAGGGAAAGTTGAACATGCGACAAAAATCATGTGAACTAGGGAAAGTTGAACATGTGATAGAAACTGAATAGGAAAACAGAACAAGTGACGTGTGTCAGAAATATTTTTTGAATGTTCAAAATATCACTGTAAAAAATCCATGAACTTCCGGTTAATATCGCTGTAAAAACCCATGAATTTCCTATATTGCAGTCAATTTCAGATGTTGAACATTCAAAAATGACATATTTTCCGATGTTCAACATCCGAAAATGTGACTGTCAAAATCTAACAACTTTCTAGATTGTGACAGTGATATTTCAGATGTTGAACATTTGAAAATATGATATTTTTTTTCTCATTTCCAAACCTTGAAGTCCATTTTTTTCAGATGTTCGAATATTGAACATCCGAAAATGATATTTTCGGATGTTCAACATCCGAAAATATCACTGTCACATTCCAGTAAGTTCCTGGATTGTGACAATGATGTTTTCAAATGTTGAAAATCTAAAAATTTGACATTTTTGAAAATGAATTTGGACGTGTAACATCCGAAAATGAATTCGGATATTGAACATCCGAAAATATCACTTTCACAATCTAGTAAGTTCCTGGATTGTGACAGTGATGTTTTCAGATATTGAACATCCAAAAGTTCATATTTTCGGATGTTCAACATCTGAAAATGTGACTGTCAAAATCCAGTAACTTCCTAGATTGTGGTAGTGATATTTTCGGATGTTTAACATTCGAAAATATCATTCGGATGTTCAACATCCGAAAATTTGACTTCTAAAATCTAGATTGGTTCATCTAGACATCCAAAAATTGTTTCGGCATTAGATTGTTCATCTAGACACCAAGATGCATGGACTTTAGAAAAAAATGGGCTTCAAGGTTTGGAAATGAGAAAAAAATGGACATGAGAAAAAAATGGACTTCAAGGTTTGAAAATGGTTTAAATATCAGATTGATCATTTGGACATCAAGATGCATGGGCATGAGATAAAAAAAAAAAATGGACTTCAAAGTTTGGATATCAAGAATAATGCATTTTTTAGGCCTTTAATTTTATAAGTGAACATGAAAATTTATTTTAAGGCTATCACAAAGATTTCCAATATTGAAATCATCTTTCTCGACACAAAGATTGGCAAATTCATAATAGTTTCAGAAGGGGCTGTAAATTCTCCATTAGAAGATTTATGACAACAAAGAATTCCAATTGTACTAACATAATTTTGACAACAAAACCAGAATAATCACTCCATTCATTAATTCATGAAATTCATAATTCGATATAAGAATACAATATTAACATCAAGTAACTCACTCTATCGGTTCTCTGCATGTCCTCCTATTATGACCCTCTGCCTCTGCACCTCATCGTTTACACTTCAAAGGCCCTGTGATCAGATGTTCCGTCTCGGATATTCTTCGTTGCTTTTTTTGGCGTACTGGGAAAGCATGTCATCCTTGGTAGCAACATTATTCAGTTATAAGTACCTGTCAACTCAATATCATCCGAGACAAGCGTAAAGGGAGTTTCAAATGCCCTTTTAAAGTATTCCACTGTAAAATACTTAAGGCAGTACACAGTGGGATCCATATGCATATGCTGATGGCTGCAATGGCATGGGCACATGAAATGCCACTGAGTTTCCATTTTCTACAACTGCATGTCCAATGCGTTAAATCGACAACGTACTTCTTCCTAAGATAATAGATCTCAAACTGCGTATCCATGGCGAAAATAACTGTGTGCAAAAATTGAGCCTTCATCTTTCGCTTGTCAAGTAATTCTTGGGCTTCGGTACTAGCATGTCGCTCCAAGTATTACCTAACTCCATCTTCTCTTCAAACCTGGCCATCAACTGTACCCTTATTTCTTCACATGTTGTAATGATTGGCTTCTCACGAGCCAATAAAATCCAAGCATTGAAAGACTCGGCCATGTTTGAGGTAAGATAACTGTATCTAGACCCTGGAAAATAGGCTTCTGCCTAAAATTTGGGGGGAATATTCTTAATCCAGTCATATGCTTCTAGGTCGGCACATTGTATATCAAACATTATTTTTTTAAACCCAACAATGGTCGCTTTACGATCAACCTTCCAAAATAGCCTAAAAAATACTTCAGTATTTGTTGACCTCTTCATAAAGCCCTTATAGTTCTCTCCCATATGTTGCATGCAAAATTATGAAAAATATGTGGGAAAATATTTTTCTATTGCTTTTGGCGAGCTAATATAATGATTAAGGCATGCAGATTAGGGTACCCAATCAATAGCTCACTCAATATACTTAAGAACCAATACCAACTCTGGTAATTCTCCTTCTCAACCACTGCAAATGCTATTGGGAAGAGCCCATTATTTGCATCTAGCATGATGACTTATAATAAAATGCCTTGATACTTTCCTTTTAGGAATGTTCCATCAATACCAATGAGTGGCCTACATCCATTAATAAAACCCATAATGCATGGACGATAAGCAATAAATAGTCGTTTGAACGGGCATTAGTACGGATGCGAACTGCGGTTCCCGGGTTGGTTCTTCTGATCTTCTCGATATACCTGGGGAGATCATGGTATTGTTATTCATGTGATCCATCTATCATATGTCCAGCAACATCTTTTTCCTGCCAAGCTTCCATGTAGGAAAGTCAGACTCCATGATCATGTTGAACATCCTTTACAATGTCTTTTGCTTTAATTTTTGGTTGGTCAAGAAGGCGGTCTTTAATCTTTTTTGCCACCCAATCATTACGAGCTATTGGCTGATGGACCCTCCCCATTAGACCACTACATGTGTGCTCCTTAACCATAGCTTCACTTTAAAGTATGCGGTATTGCCAACTTGTAAGCACCTCACTTGCCATGTACATCCTCTGCCTTGCAACTTGCCCACACCCGTACTAATTCATTTTTGTCAAACTTTAAAACAAAATTGTTGTGGGTTGCAAAATCAACTAGATGATGCCGGCATTCATTAACATTTTCAAAAAATTGCCAAACTTTCAATTGAACCTCGTTACCAACTCCTCTACATGGACTCTCTAGTGGTTCAATATCTTCCATATCACGCTCTGGTACGAGCTCAGGGTTGGTCGCCACTTCAATGTTTTGATCTTGCGCAGGTAAAGTGTTACGACGACTGTTGACAAAAGATATAGTGTAAGATGAAGCAACAATTTATGCACATATAAGATTAAACTAAAGCAATTTACAAATGAAAAAATAAATTGTAGATATACCTATTCCTTGAAGATGGGCCCTCAGCAACAGATTCTTATTATGGTTTGGTAATATATACTACAATTCCCGACGATTCCCCTCCCAACATAAAAGATATATCAATATCATCACTAACATCAATCAAATCAAGCCCACTAGATAGATTTGTGTTGTGGTACATAATAGCTAATTTGCTTGGATCACACTTGGTTAAATTAGCAAAATAACTTTTTAGTTCATCTAAAGAACTATTCCTATTATACTTGGTGACCTTCAAGTTTCCTCCTTTCTATATTACACGTCCATCATTTGCATTCGTCTCAAATGACCCCCCATATCGGAATACCAGTTGCACTCCCTCAGTAGCCATCGTCAATACTACTGTATTAAATGAATAGAAAAATTTGTATCTAAAAAATTACCAAAAATAGAGATATTTCTAACAACTTTAGGGTTCATAAAATTGTCTATGATGAAAAATTGGACGAATTTCAGGTGAAGATCTCTCTGATTTTTGACACATTAAATTAAATAAAAATGCAATAAAAGAGTGATAAAGAAAGTGGGACAAATCGGATTCATATATAAGGCCAGATCTGCCAAAAAATGAGCAGATCTAATCTCATATCTGTGGCAGAGCCAGCATGATCCAAGACACGAAAATACAATTTTAAAGCAAATAAGCAGATCATAATGAAATTAAAACAATAAAAGAAGAATAAAAAAAGAAAGAATTGATACCGAATCAAGCCGGATGGCCAAGACTCCCGAGCCTTCTAGGGCTCGCCTGCATTAGAAACGGTCCTCTTTTGTCTCTCTGAGTCAGATATTTACCAGCAAGTCTCTAGTAGAAGAATGGCGGTTGTGCCCTAAGGGTAGATCTAGGGTGATTGTGCCCTAGGTCTAGGTTTTCCCAAATTTAGGTTTTCTCTTAGGAAGCTTAGGTTCCTGAAGCAGTTTTTAGGGTTTTTTCTTCTCTCGTGTAACTCTCTCTCTCTAGTTTTTTCACTCTAATCTCCATATGTTCTCTCTCCTAGGGTTTTGGTCTCTCAGATTTTTTATATCTATCTCCTCTCTCCTAGGGTTTTGTCTCTCTCCATCCTTCCAAATGACCACGAAAAGATAAGGGTGAAAATCCACTGAGGAGGATATACTCACATAACCTACACGTACTTATCCAAAAAATGGGTTTACTAGATTAAGTGTGATCCTAAGTGTTCAGGAAACCACAGAATTTGCCAGATTTAAAATAAGGTGTCTACAAAATCTGAATATTACATAATGGATTGAAATAGTGTAGTACCAAAATTGTGAGTAATAAACATTAAACAACAGAAAACAATAAATACTCACATAAACACAAAATAAACAACAAATTTTAATCCAAACAAACAAGTTTAACAATTATTTAGCCAAAACAAGGAATACAATGTATCAACACGATACAAACAACAAATAATTATATAAAACAAATAACTTTCATCAATATTAAACAAATTCATTTTATTAATAAAAAGTACACAACAAATATTATTAACAAAAAAAAATATCCTAAAAAATAACAGATAATAAACTTCAATTAATCAACCGTAAAAAGAAAGAGTAAAAACAGTACCAATCAATTCCAAATAGTGAGTCAATCTCTTCAACTTTGTGAGTTACTGTATTAAGGGATAGTAAATGGGGTATGATGCTTCAATGATTTTCTCAACTTTATAAAAATAAAAATAAATAAGTTTCCGCCTGTTGGTACGAAATGTTGGGGCAAAAAATTTCGGATGTTCAACATCCGAAAATCTTAGAAATTCGGATATTGAACATTCGAAAATAAGAAAAATCACTGTTGGAGCTGCGGCTATTTTCGGATGTTGAACATCCGAAAATTGCAAAAATTCAGATGTTGAACATCCAAAAAAGGGCAAAGTTGTCGTTTTTTTAAAAAAAAAGCGTTATTGGAAGATAAAAAACAGACAGATGAGTAATAACGGAAACTATTTTGTGTAACCGTAATAACGTAAAGTATAACGGATATGTATGTAATTTTTCTCTAAAATTAATCCTGATGTTTTTCTGATGGAGTAAATGGACAGTATACTCCTTTGGGATCATAGTATGTTTTGGAATTTATTAGATGAGGCTACACATTCTCTTGGCGAAAAGTACGCGCCATTGGACACCCCTACATGCAACCATCATTACTAAGGGTGGAACGGGCTGGACCAACCGTGGCCCAATCCCAGTCTTGTCCCCGTAGGGCTAGCCCAGGCTCGGCCCGGTCTTAACAGGACCATGGCCAGGCCAAGTAGGGCCAAAACTTAATGAAAACAAAATACAAGAAAAAAAGAAAAAGAGAGGGCCGGGCCAGGCCTAGTGGAGCTGGCACTGGCCCTAACCCAGCCCTTGGGCCACAGTTCATAGCCCGGGCCCTACTTTTATAGGGCTGGTCCAGGTGGCCGGGTTGGGCCAAGCCGCCCGGCCCATTGTTCATTGTTAGAGAATATTCAAAAATGAAAAACTTCCCTTTTTGGTAAATAACACAGCCTGCTCATAATTCAAGTCGCGTTGTTATGAGGAAATAACCAAATCTATAGGGAAAGGCTTTCATATTTCCCCATGTGTAAGATATATACTACCCCCATCCAGCCATCCAATTTAGATCAAGTGAGTCACTGATCATTTGATCTAGATCTAATGCCTCAAAGTATTTTATTTTTTATTTGTTTTCTACAAATTATATGAATATAAAATTTGGTACGTGTCATTATCTCAATCGGACGCACCTAAAAAACATATTAAATAAATATTTTTGATAAAATACAATAACCAAAATGCCCCTAAAACTTTTAGGGACATGTTGGTCATTTTAGTTTACAATATTTTTTATATTTTTCACAAGTGCGACTTTCAAAGAGAAGTGGATGCCCATAATTTGGAATCAAAATTTTTTATAGAAAAAAATTAAAAATAAAATAGTATAGAGGCGTGACATTATGATTAAGACCATCTCAACCATCCCTTCAGAATGGACAGTTGGATAGGTGGAAATATATATGTTTTATATAGTAGGAGAAGTATAGAAATCTTGCCCAAATCTATAAACCATACTCTTTTAACAGACGGTGTGAGAAATGAAATGTTTTTCACTTTTAGTTCTTTGGTAACTGAGAAAGTTGTTTTCCTAAAGATTCCATAAGAAATTGGAAGCCTCAGAAAAATGAGGAAGTAGAAACCTTTGGCTAGAAGCTAAGAACCCTCATGTCGTAACATGTCTGTGAAACCAGAGAAAGCTTGGGCTAGAGCTTAAGCAAAGCGAGATTGAGAGGGGAGAGAGAACATGAGGTTAGAGAAATGAAAGGTGGATGAGGGGAATAGCACAATTTCCCAATTTTTCTGAGAAATCGGTAGCGCACACCACTGGGTGTGTTGCATCTTTTCCTAAAATTGGGGAAAAGCGAGAAAATACAGGGCACCAAATTTACACACTGTTTCCCATTTCCAAACAAGGGAAAATGGGTACCGAAGAAAACATCTCACTTTCTCCAATTTTCTTAGTTACCAAACAGGACCTTAAGAGTGCCTTTCGTTTAAGATGGAATGGTTACCTATGCTCAACCAATACCATACTCATGCATAGTATCTAGCTCACCCGAGATCCAACTTTTGTGAGCATTACTAACACAGGCATCTTTTTGTTCTTAGGGTGATAAGCTCCACCAAATATGGTGTGACCTTTTCACAAACGGGACAGGATCCGATACCCCATCAGCAAGTGCATAAACACACCCTTTTGTCCATTGCAGGCATCATACAAATTACGAAGTTTTCAAATTGCAGGACTCGCCTTTAGGCCAAGGTGGGGAAGGTGCTAGGACGTGAGACCTAGACTTCCAATCCTACTAGGTCCCAAATTTATATTCAGGAAGAAAAAAAAAGAAAAATTTATCTAATTACTCACAAAAGAAAAAAAAAAAACAAAAACAAAAACAAAAACAAAAACGAAAACAGAAAAGACATCAATTTCCTGTAAAAAGAATGAGAAAAAAAAAAAGACCCAACAACGTGCTATTGTGTGTTGAAAAGAAAAAGAGAGAGAGAGAGAGAGAGTAACAGTAGACCACTTTTTGGAAATAACGTTTTAACATTATTTTACGTAATGTATGCCATTTGTGTCGGACCTAGGCTTTATAAAAATTGAGTAAAACCTCACCTCAAATCCTCGTCCATAAAACACTTTGGGCATCAGAAATCTTCATGACAACTCTAAAATCAATTTCCAATGCTAACTATGAGCTCTAAAAGTACAGATCTTACGGATCTATAAACACTTATATTTAGGATGAAATAGACGGTCTAGATATACACTATTTTTAGAACTTAAAATCCTAATTTTTTTCACAACTATAATGGTCAAAGTCGAGATGATCGATTTAAGGATTTTCTAACGCAAGAACTGCAATTTTCAGTGAGTTTTTTAAGGTAAGGCTTTACTTATTTTGATAGGGCTACAGCCCTATCAAGCCATTTTCCTTATAAGATGATTTGTCTGGGGACTCCCAAACCCCTAACAAAATATTTGCTTTCTCAAACCCCATCGCAAATGCTCATATTTGCAATGCTGAAACCCCATTCCAAAAAGCATATACACCTAACCAAAATACTTTTCTTCTACATGCCATGTTATGCAATTAAAGTTTTCATTTTTTTGGCAACAACGTGCTCTCATGCTTTACCCAGTATTTTCATTTTTGGGTATGCATAACTAGGATTCAGTGTGCTATATTTGATATCATTCATCCGTTGTCAACAGCCGACAGGTTATATAAACCTTTTTCTTTTTTTGACAAACAAAAGGATTACAACGAATTAAACATCAGCAAATAATCCATCAACAGAAATTAAAGAAGGGAGCTCCACACCTCTCCGAGGCAATTAGCTCGGAATTTGCATCCACACACGTGCTGAAAAGGGACATAGAGAGACAAACAGCAGTCCATAATCTTGATTCCACCAAAATTTAAGTATCCAAGGAGTCCTTTGCTCTTTCCTGCACCATTTACGACATTGAGCATGTCTCCTTCAACAGTAATATGATCATTAAGTACTCTATTTCTACAAAGTAATATGCCCTGCCATAAATATCTCAACTCTACCTGGTTAGCAATTGTAGAACAACAAGGCCTAAGTGAAGATCATCACTCACTCCGAGTCCATTAGATGTACACCAATACGAGCCGGTCCAGGATTTCCTTGAGAACTCCCATCAAAATTCCATTTAAAGCATCTGCTCAGAAGGTGGCAACCATCTACCAACAGGCCAAGACTCTGCTGGTTAATGATGTTTAAGAACTATTGGTTTTTTAGCCTTCGTACTTACATTTCAGCAATGAAATTTTTGTTCATGATAAAAAAATTATAATAAACTATTGTTCTTTTCTATAATAAACAGAAATTTCACCGCTGAAATAGAAATACAAGGGCTCAAAACCAAAAACAAAGGTCAAGAGATGTCAAGACAGCATCTGGTCCTCTTAACACCTTCATTGGCAAAGCTATCAGCCTCTTGATAAGCTCCCCTAAGAATGTGCACAAAAATAAAAAATTTTATGTATCAAACATTAAAGAATCCCCCAAAAGTCATAACCAACCTCCACAGAATAAAGATTTCTTTACAGTCCATCTTATGACATTGAGACAATCCCCTTCTACAATTAATTGACTTCTTAAATGGAAAGAACAGATCCAGACATGTATGCAATGCAAAAGCCTCCACTATCGTAGAGCCACATATTCGTAGTGGACCCGAAATAGTTTTAAAGCTTCTTACCTTCTTCATCTCTAAGAATCCACTCACACTGCTAGTGCTGGATTACCCCATGAACATCCTCTAAGGTTTAGCTTCATAGAACTCTCCTCTAGAGCAACCAAACTGCCATGGCTTGCAGCAATGGTAGCTCAAGCAAAGATTGGCAGAACTGGCAGCATGGTCCCCGTAAATAGTAAGATACTTAACAGTATGCTACGAGAACCATGACATAATTTCCTATTCCCATCAATTTTCAGCCATTCCTTCTCTTTGCAAATATCTCAAAATAACAAAAGCGCCAGACAACACTTCGATTAGATGCAAGCTCCCTATATTCATGCAATTATCACACAAGCTATAACGCAACTTAATCCATACACTGCTCCTAAGGAACAATGAATAATAAATACAACCTCAAAACTTAGCATACATGCAGACACATAAACAGGATTTGATATTCGACATCAAACCAATACATGCATTTAAAGTGAGTGCACATCAATCCGCTGTTATACAGTATTATTTGACCAAGGTTGTCTGTATTACAAATTCAGGGTTTGTAACATACAGTCAGGAACAAAAGAAGCACATGTACAGTGGAGTTTCTATGTGGATTGTGAGCATGGGTTCTTCGTTTCCCATAAATTCATCAATTAAAGTTGTGTCATGAAGGTCTTCTCTCACCCTCATCAACACAATTTTCTTGACTCTTCTTAACCATGTCTGCAACATACTGTTTCACCAGACTCTGATTCACCTCAAAAATGAACCTCATGCCCCTTATCTGCAACACCATCAAGTTAATGTATTACATTGTGCCCATATACAGGACACATACAACTCTTATCCAGTTAACATATCACATTGCTCATAATGCACAGGACATCTAGTCATGCATAAGTGCTTGAGAATAGAGAGATTCAAGCATATGATACAAGCCACTCAAATACAACTATGCAGACAATATAGACATTATGGAACACACCGCTGGAAGAAATATATATAGACTATTTATCTAATGAAGCACACTACACAATACGAACGATATTACAGAAGAAAAAGATGATGCGAAGGGATGGCAATCACGGTCAAGGAACGTGAGTTTCTATGACAAAAAGCAATGGCAATCATTCATCCTTCCCTACACTTTTAACCCTAAGAATAGAAAACAAGAACACCTCCAGTAGGTGTTGGTCAATACAATATGGATCGTGGAAGAGTTCTACTTCCCTACACTTTTAACCCTAAGAATAGAAAACAAGAACACCTCCAGTAGGTGTTGGTCAATACAATATGGATCATGGAAGAGTTCTACCGCCAGTAGTTGTTACAATATTTAGCCAATGCACTGCAAGATTTAGTTTTTATACTTGCCTAGAATTCATGACAGTACAAATAAAAGTTATGGACTCCAGTAACAATTTTATCTAAAAGTAATGGAAATTCCAAAGGGAACAAATGGTTGTAAGAGTCCCAAAGATATCAAATAGTTGTAGAAGGAACTTCTCCAATAATTTGAGCAACGTGGGATTGATTTACAATATCTTCACAAGAAAATCATCTAGCAGCAATGCTACTGTTACAAGGACATTGACGTGGTGTTGGTATCCAACACATTTTAGGGGTCTTCGATATAGTAGCCCAAAGGTTGTTGAAACAACATCCATGTAATCAATGACAACATAAGAATATTCTTGCCATACAATTAATAAAATGTATTTTTTAAAAGTAAACTTTCATAGAAGTAATGCCACATTTGTTACCTTTTTTACAATGTAATATCTCTTTTTTTTAACTGCGATAAATACAAAGGTCTAAAATACATAGTGAGAAATGAACTAATGTTTTTCAAGTAACATGTAATCAAAATAGTTTAGTTACATATAAGATAGTACAATACGTAATACATTTTTAAACCATTAAAAGAAATTATCATAATACAAATACCTAAAATTATAGAAACACGTCTAAAAATCAACGAGTTAAGTGGTATCAAAATGCCAAAAAGCTGAACGCAGATAGCACGTTGACTTGGCAACCTAAATATGTGCCAAGGTAGAATATGTAGATTATTTTATTTTATCTGGAGACAATATTACGCAACATCCTCAAAATCCAGCTACAATACTAATTTCATGTGAAGAGTAATGGTAAATTGCGGAATTCCTAGGTAAACGGTAGCATGGTCACGATGTATTGTCCAAGCACCAATACAAATAAGACATCAATCTATTGTTTCCATGTCTAAGACAGGAAGGTATGGATACTCGAGTCAAATTACGAGCATCACAAATCGAAGGAAAATAAAGCTCCTAATCCCACTCTTTACATGCAACAGGTGGGCTTTGGGCAGCCCTATCTACATAAGCTTCTCTTCAGGCGGTTCCTAAAGTTAGCCATTTTATGGCTGAACCTCAACAACTTGTAAAAAAACAATTGCCAAAATTATCATGGTATCAGTTGTATCACTCGATTTGGTCACCTACTGTGATTCAAATTTAGTTGGGTGTTACAACATGCAGATCCCATCTCTTGGAAGCACATGAAACAAGGGACTATTTATGCATCCAATAAAAAGGTATGTATGCAGTTCAATTCTAAGCTTCTAATGCGATAGTTTGGGGCCAAACCTTCTAAGAAGAGACTATTTATGCATCCAATAAAAAGGTATGTATGCAGTTCAATCCTAAGCTTCTAATGAGATAGTTTGGGGCCAAACCTTCTAACAAGATATAGGCTTATATTGTGTCAATCAAATGTTATCTATGGTGATAAGCTGACTTCCTTCCCAAAGGTTTGAACTATAGTTGTTGGAAACGCCTGTGATTCCGATTTGTTTCAAGAATTGGAATAGCAGAATCGCATCTGCCAGATGATTCTTAATTTCAGAATTGTCATCCATACAATGAAAACCGACAGAGGTATGATTCCCAATAATTGGAATCATGATTCAATAAAATAGGAACTGTGATTCTTATTTGTAGGAATCGATATCCCATCATGTTGGAATCGAGTCTCCTACCTTTCAGGAATCACATATGACTCCACATAGTTCAATGTTTATCAGAATCGTGATCCGACAAAATAGGAATTGTGATTCCTACATCAGTGGAATCATTGTCCCCATCGATTGGGAATTGAGATTCCCACAATTTAGGAATCGTGCACCCATCCCCTCTGGTATAGGAGAAGTATTTTGCGAGAAAATATTTAAAGTTTTACATAGATGATTAGGGATAGACAAAGATGATACCTTAGCTTGACCCAAATTATCTATGTAAAACCAAGTAGATACCGTAGATGATATCATAGACAAAGATGATACCCTAGCATGACCCAAATTATCTATGTAAAACCAAGTAGATACCATTGATATCATAGCTTGGCATTAGCTTGAAAGACCAAGACGTTGCATTTTTCTCAAAATCCAAATACCGCAAGTGGCCATGAATTTTATCACTGTCAACCCATTTCCTTTTTGTTTTTTTTTTCTTTTTTTAGGTTTAAGTCCATGCCCCAGCAAATATACAATGAGGGCTAAGCATTTTACTTATTACCACAAATGATCATTAATAAACATATTATTGATCACCCATCGATTATGCCCCACATAATCTGATACTTGGTACAGTAAACGATCAATAATAAGCATTTGGTTCTTGCAAGCATCCTATAGGAATATCTTACCTTGAGGTGGGACCACTAACCACTTCATGATTTGTAGATTGATAAATATGTTGGGCAACTTGGAAGAGATTATTATACATGGATTCATCTCAAAAGTTTATTAAGGGTTTTTGGCTCTCACAACATCACAGTTTCGAAGCCCAAATCATGAGTATTTAACCTTGTACAAAATTGTAACAGGTTACAAAAGGATTCCTGCAACTCCTCCGGTAACATAGGATCGGTTCCTGGAGCTTCTCTCCCAACATACAATTTGTGAATGTATTTCATGCAACATTTGCATTTGAATCTTGATTCCATGTCATTAGAACATGATTTGATGTTGATCGAAACATTGTTCGGTGTATCTAAGAACTACGCCTTTTGATGATGTGGAACTCGCTTCCAAATAACATGGATTCACAATTCCTAAAAAGTTTGAATCAACATCTCGCACACATTGAATCGTGCAACTATGAATCGCAGACTTTGTATTATGGAATCTAGATTCCAACCTTCCAAGATATGAAATTCAAATAATAATCTGGAACGCGTTCCATGAAACTAAGAAACATGATTCGTATCTTCCAGATTCGTGTTTCATCCTGGGAACCGTGGAGTCGCGATTCCAGTTCGAAATCACGACCTTGACATGCGATTCAGGTTACTATAGTTTGAACGCTATTCTCCAGACACAAGACAAGGTTTCCATTTGGTTTTTCCAAGAGTAGGTGGTCTTATGACAATTCATTGTATTTCAATAAACAAGCAGGCAGTTGATATTTAAACTCTAGTCATGACTTCCTCAAGGATTCATGTTCATAATAACAAACTCTACCATCTTTACACAAGGAAAGCTGTCAAGATATGCATATCGAATATGCATATAACATGTATTTCTGCCTTATGTGCTTGTATCTAGGCATTTAAATCTTACAGCCCGATGCCAGTTGTACATAAACCATGAGTTTTCATTCTTTTTCCTGAGAGAATATAGTAGACTTTATAGAGTTGGTAGTACAAAATCTTCACGTGGCTACTCACAAACCAAGAGCTCCGTACAAAATGGGGTTCCATAATGTGATACCTACATCAAAAAGAGCAGCCTATTAGCAATGGACACCTTTCCAAAAGCAAAATAGAAAGAGGGGCATGGAGAGGGCAAATGAGGAAAGAGAGAGTGGAGATGAAAGGAGAGAGGAAAGAGAGCTGAAATGGGAAATGAGAGGAGAGAGTGTTAGGGAGTGAGAATATCAAGATGATGAGTGCGGCATCATCGTTTCAATGCAACAAACAGCAATGATGTAGGCCTCCCTCAGTAAATAGCTGAATGGGATCCAAGTTGCCTGGCATAAAACGTGTATGTCATAAAAAACGTGAGCTAGTATCTAGGTGGGTTGGGCCTCCTTTGCTGCCCAAGATATAACATCCCTAGAATACCTCTGCACAATTAGGTGAAATTTAATGATGCCGAGATGAGTACCTTCAAACCTTCCAGAATAGCCATTGTTTCAGCCCTGTCGAAGTATGTATGCCCAATGAACCCCAAAAGAATAGCAGATGTTCACCATGGCGGTTAGCTAGGCTAATGGAGGGCAAAATTATACTTACTTTTAATTTCTATTCAATTTTAAAGGATTGTATATTTTGATTTTCGTTTTAGGATTTATTTTTAGGTTTTTTAGGAATTCTAAGGTTTTTATAATTTTTTTATTTATTTCATGAGTACTTTTCACACGAACTCTTCAAGAGTATTGTTCACGGGTACTGTTCATTGGGGCAAAACTATGTTTATGAAAATTAAGTTTAGTTAGGATATATAGGTCATTTTAATCACCGTATGGACATGCAATGTCTTTGAACATTGAATTATAATATATAAAAGGTATGTGAGGCCTAAAAAAGGTCAATTCCACATATTTCCTGCATCATTTAAGGCAGGAAAAATTAAAAGAAACAGTAAAATCAACAAGAAACAAAACCAAACAAAGGTATAATTCAAAGAAACCTAGGGTTTCTTCTCCATACCCAAGCTAGGGTTCCAAAATCCAAAGTTTTTCTCTATAGAATTGACCATCTCAAGGCCCCACACACCTTTTATATATTGTAATTCAATGTTCAAAGGTGTTACACGTCCATACAATGATTAAAATGACCTATATATCCACACTTAACTTAAATTTCGTAATGACAATTTTACCCCTATGAACAATACTCATGAATAACACTTGTGAATAATACTCATAAAATAAATAAAAAAACTATAAAAACCCTAGAGTTCCTAAAAAATTAAAAATCCTAAAGCTAAAACTATAATATAAAACATATAAAATTGAATAAAAATAAAAAATAGGGATAATTTTCCCTCCATCATTCTCCCTTGGTTGAAGAAAACTCGTCCTCGAGTTTTAAAGTGTGTTAAGATGCAATTGGCGCTAGTCCGACAACATTCTTCAACTCGAATATTGTAAACATCATCCTAGGACTTGTAGGTTACTGCACTAATCAAAACACAATGATTGTGCACTAGAATTGAGAAACCCTGGAGGAAAAGGTCTTTGTATGACGATAGAATATTTGTAATCACATAAATTTGTTGAAATTGCATCACTTCAGCCATTTAACTCTATTGAATTTGGCCAGACTCAGTTCTAAAACACACCATGGGTGCATATTTGAGATCGACGACTAAACCAACAACTCCACCTATTAATTATCCTTTGAGTCTTTCATCTTTTTCCTCATCAAATACCAATTCAATCACAAAATCTTGATCATCATCGTAGATTGGATCTCTAACAAGATCTTATTCTTCATCTAAATATGCATTGAAGATTGGTGCTAGATCCCAATCTACATCCTGTTAATTTTCGATACGATATATGTCAAAATCAAGAATCTCATCCTCCAAATCGGAAACCCTAGAGTGATGTTTCCCACATCTAGGTCTCCTGCCACTATCCTCATCATTCGACTACCCCCGCGGAGCACAAAAGTGAAAAGGCTTGTACTCGAGATCTTCTTGGGCTGAAAGATCACCGTCTTGCCCATATTTTAGGCTCGTGAACTGCTACGCCAACTGCTGCACTTGCCTTTCAAGTTCTTCAATTCTGTCATCTATGGATCACGAAGTGGATCTACGAAAATTCACCTTCTATGGCCCCTTCTCGCTGTCATGAGTTCGCTGAAATCTCAAACCCTAAGCAAGTAATCAACAAAAAACTGCAAAAATCAACAAAGATTTAGGTTGTTTTGGCAAAACGTTGGCCAAAATCAACAAACCCTAGACCACCACTATAACTACCCCGCTTTGTTGTTGACCAAGGGCACGAAAAAATTGATGCTATAGTAACTTCGTACAGTGCTACAATAGTTTCTGTATAGATCGCAGGCTCTGATACTAATTTGATGCACGGAAAACTTTGAGGGATCAGTAAAATCAGCAAGAAACAAACCAAACACAATACAATTCAAAAAAATCTAGGGTTTCTTCTCTATACCCCAAGCTAGGGTTCCAAAAGCCTAATATTTTCTCTCTTTCAATTTTTAAACATGTGGAATTGACCTTCTCAAGGCCCTACACACTTCCTATATATTATAATTCAATGTTCAAAGGTATTGCATGTCCATACATTGATTAAAATGACCTATATATTTTACCTTAAACTTAATATTCGTAATGACAGTTTTACCCCTGTAAATAGTACCCGTGAACAGTACTCATGAATACTACTTGTAAATAGTACTCATGAAATAATAAATAAACTATAAAAACCCTAGAATTCCTAAAAAACTAAAAATCCTAAAAATAAATCCTAAAACTAAAATCACAATATCCATCCTTTAAAATTGACTACAAATTAAAATAAGTATAATTTTCCCCTCTATCATAGGCTCTCCTCAAGCCCAAGGGCCTAGGGTTTTCAAGGGAGCACCCATCCATATTTAACATCAGAGAACCTTGAGGTGGAGGCGCACAGGATAGCCAACCGCTCCGAGTCCTTGGGTCAAGGGGCACATGTTTTCCCAACTGCTGAGTAAGGCTGAGGTGCCTAAGTTGCTACAAAGTGGCAGTCATCTAGCTCAAAAAATAGTCCCAACTTTGATGCGGTCGACAAGAGCCTGTGTGGACTGTCCTTGACCTTGAAATGTGGGGGCATTCTGCTCCTTTCAAACACCTAATAACAAGTTGAATACCAAGGACATCCAAACCAGGCAGGCCATTTAAGTATTCGTGGGGACAGGAAAGAAGAAACCAATTGTTCTATGGACTGAGAGTAACCCGTTGGCACCTAAATAGCTGTAGAAGGTAACATTAGAGCAGAGAGATGGTGTCACCAAGGTTTGAAAAAATGCTAGGTAGCCAGCCTGGCACCCAATGCCTAGTGCCTAGGGTAGGCAGATGATCAATGGGTGAGGGGAAGTGGCTGTGGTTGATTGCAAGTTGGGTCCGAGGTGTCGAGCAGGGGACGGAAAGAGGAGGGACAGCATATTTCAGAGTAACTTGACCATGCTGTGGACCATGATTTTCGAATTCAAGTATTGCCTCGGAAATCAAGGCTTCTTTATACTGCTCACAAAGCATGTGGGACAGGTGGTCCAGGAGACATGTGGGAATTATTTCAAATTCAGACCTTACCCTTAAATGCTCCTCGGGTTGTGTTTAACCACCAGTATCTAGTAGCTGAGAAGGTGTGGGGTGGAGCAATACATCATAGAAGACACCTTGTTGTATTATGTGCTGCTTTTTTGGCCGAAGTGGCAGCCATTGAGGAGTGACGACATTCGTTGAATGAGGTACTCTGCATCTTCACAAGATGTGGGTAAGGTAAGGTTCAATTAATCAGAATAATTTCATGAGTGCTTTCATTATTCAAACAATAGCTCTAGATAAACATGCCTTTATCATATTTAACTTGGTTCTACTCTTAACACAATGTTAACGGGATAAAAAAAAAAAACATATTCAGCTTAGCCGAGTACAGTACCTGTTAGGAGGTGCGAATTAGTTCAAGTGGAATGACTGAAAATGGCAAGGCGTAGGCCCAAAAGGATGTGGTTGGAAGTAGTCCGAAAAGATATGAGGACTTATGGCCTCACTGAGGGTGTGGCCTTTAATAGAGCAGAATGGCGAACCAGGATTCATGTAGCTGACCCTAATTAAATGAGAAAAAGCTATGATGATGATGATGACTTAGCTTGCCCATTTTTTAATTCTCAATATTTTGGACAAGAGACATATATGTCTTACAAAAGAACAAATATTCGAGTATAGAATGGTATACATACATCCAGAAATATCAAAGGAGAGATGTACAAACAAGACCAAAAGGAGATAAAATAGGAGTATCATAACCTTGATAAACAACAAATAAGCAAAGAAATTCTGAACAGAGCAAAATACTCGAAAGAGATAAAACCAGAGCATTCAAAACACATTAAGCAACAAAGAGATAATGTAACATATCATCTGCAAAAGAAGATGCCAAATCTCCAATAGAAATTCTTATAACTTTCTATATTTTCATACAATACTAGTTCACTTACCTCTATCAAACAACTCGGACTGAGATTAAAGCGCTGGCCACTAGCTACCTCCTTACTGTTAACAACAATAGAATACTTCCCAGTGTTCTTCAGGTAAAAGTTTCCATCTTCTTCCATCTTTATAACAGCCTATAAACACAACTTTTACTAGTAAATCACTTGAGAGTGTCACTGAGATGGTGGCTCATCCAAAAAAGGTTCAAGAATGATGGAACACAAAAATGAAGATTGCCTAACAAGCAGGTCTTCAAGGCAGATGGCAATAAAGAAACAAGATTACTTTTATTACCATAAATACTATCGAATTCAAGAATGAAAATTTATATTTGTTCAATGTGAAGCATTAAGATAAGAAAAGTAAAAAAAAATGGTCCATTACATATCATTGGTTTATGATTTACAGCAAGAACTACAGTAAGAATACAGTTAATGGACCATTATTTATTTAACTATATTTCATATCTCATGAATCAATCATTGGTAGTGCATAGCAAATTCTTCCAGTGAAACAAAATTTGGAAATTCATAAGAAATTGATAGAAAAAAAAAGTCAAAAACATTGATGTTGGGTTTTGTGGCCTTTATAGGCCTAGTGAGTTTGTAAATATGAAATTTTATAGTGGAATATGCACTTTAGTGGGATTATGTGTGTTGACTAACTAAGGGTTGGGCGGTTTATGGCCATGGTCATATCCAAAACCCTTACCATGGGCATGTGGCAATATTGAAAACAGTTTATAGTGGGTCAACCGTTGTTGAGATCGAAAAGATGCCTAGGGCTGATGTTTGCAGGCCAGAGCCACTGTGTGGTCTTCTGTGTGAGGTTGTAGGCCTATGAGAATAAAGGCCAAAGCCTCAACAAACTTCTGCATGTCATATACACATGACAACTGCATTACTAGGAAGCAGACCCATAGAGGGATATGTGTACATGTATATAGAGAGAGCCCCCCTTGCATTGTGGGAACAAGTGTCAGACTTGCTCTTAATGGAGGAAACTGAAATCCACATTCTCAGATCACGTTTATTGTCCAATTTTGACAAGCCAATCATAAGCCCCTGAAATGAGAATGTGAGTCATGGGTCTTTGTTAAGAAGGATAAGAAAAGAGTAGTGGACCATGGTTTCTGAGGCGAGTGGAGTACCCTTATTGTTGCTAATTTTGACCCATTGGTACCAGTCCATTCCTAGTATATTTTATTTTCGTATTAGAAATGTTTTTATGATTTTTAAATATTTTTTAAAAAATTTTAAAATATTATTTCTATTGTAATTTTCATTAAAGGGTATTTATGAAATTTTCAGAACTTGATAAGGTACATGTGGGGCCCAATAATCCAGTCCCTACATGTGTGTGCCACCCGTGTGGGGCCCACATTACCCCCAGAGAGGCACGCCAATTTTTTTTTAACAAAAAGTGGGCACGCCACTTTTTTTTTGATAATGTTAACTTTGTATTGCTATAAGAGAGAGAATACAAGTGAAAGGGGGGGAGAGAGGACCTCAAGTACCCCCGAGGCGGGTACCTTGGTCAAAAAATAGTTCAGGAGACCCTATACAAAAAATCAGCCCTGCCCTGCCTGATTACAAAAATTAGCCAAAAAGGGGCTTATAAGAGACGCCCAAGTATAGTAAAAAAGTGGGCACGCCACTTATTTAGGAGAAAGGGGGTCACGCCCCACTTTCATAATATTTGATTTTAAATTAGATAGGCAATCTTTTAATTTTAAATAAGACTTGGTTTCCCATTCTAGTGGGAGTTTTAAAATATAGATTATCCTTGATTTCCTATAGATTATGGGAGATCTAGATAAAATAAGATTCGTTATATTTTAAATTTAAATAGGAGTTGGTTTTGGGTCAAAGTCTAAGGGGATAAGGTTCCTATTTGCCACTCAAATCATGATGACTGATTTGTGGGATGGATTAAATCTATCTCACCCCATATAGTTTTTAATTATTCTAAAGGTCAAGCTGGAAATTGGATGAGGCATACTTAGAATGGGATTCTATTCAAAATAAAAAATAGATCTTGTTTCTATTTAAACAAGATTTGAGCCCCCTCTCTCATGACATCTAGATTTCTCTATCATGCTCCAAGATTCTCTCTTTCACGTGACAAAAATTCTCTCATGCCACACTCTCTCCTCTTGTTTGCTTTTACGCCACCCTCTCTCCTATTTTCTATCACACCATTCCCCCTCCTCTTATTGGAGTGAGTTCGGGGCTTTCCTTGTTGCGCTAATGACTAAACTCGTCGGGGCTTTGCTTGTTGCCTACATTGCCTTCACTAGAAGAAGAATCGCTCTAACATGATAAATCGATTTATGTTCAAGAATAGGGAGCGGAGAAAAATGTCCATTCCCAGCTTTTTATTCCCACCTCTAGAAGAACGTCATTCTATCAAAGAAAATAAAATGAGGAAAGATAAGATTTTCAAAACCCTAAGTGAAGCTTGCTGTATTTTAAAGAAAATAATGGTGACAACCAACCTAGAGAGAGATCAACTCACAAGTACAGCCCTATTTTGTTCACATAGGATTTCTATAAACCCTAGTTGTTCTTTGAGCTCTCTAAAAACCCTAAAAAAATAAGTATTGCCTACAAAGCTTCCCTATCTCAGAATTTTCAGCGACACCTAAAGGAATAAAAGAGCTCCATCGGTCAAGGAATCAGGTGTGGGATGTACCAAGACCTGTGAGGGTAACTCAAGGCATCTTCCAATAAATCTTCCCAGTAGTTTTAATTTCAGTATTGTATCTTATTTTTTATGAATTTACAGGAACTTATTTTGTACTAAAAATTATAGTGGAAGTTTATTTAAAGCTCCTGGATAGTTTCCATTTCTTTTGGCAGTGAAAATAAAGATCCTAGGTTGTATCTAAGGTATTATTTTTTATTTACAGCCATATTTAGTGGCCTTTGTAAATGGAATTCAAGTATATTGACAACAATATTTAGTGGCATTTGTAAGTGAAATTCAAGTATATTAAATACAAGTAAAAGAAAATATTTGAATTTAATACCTTGAGTTTCTGGCACTCCTTACATGTGAACATTGTATTGTATGAATCTGTAATTTATTAATTAATTATTTCAACATCAAATCTGGCAATTAAAATAATTTAGATACGCATTTGTTAGAATGACTATGGATCTCCCAAACCTCAAAAGGGTCTCTAAGTATCCATCGACTGAGGAACAATCTTCTTTGCCAATCTACAATCAAATTCACAGAGTTTGCACCACACCTCATATACATGGAATTACTCACTTCTACTTTTTGTTTTTGAGAGAAAGTTAACATTGTATTGCTGGAATTTTGTGCACAAGAATTTGTAAGTCCGAGTTCACCCGCTAGGGGTGGATCGGTAAAAAACAATCAGCGTATCATATACAAAAAGGGGCTTATAGGTTCCGCTCGATTTAGAAGATTTACAAGAAGCTTTCAAAAAATGCAAAAGATACAGGAGGCCTAAAAATGCCAACTAATACACTATGTAGAAGGGTTGTGCCAAAGGTCTTGAGCAAAAAAGGAGTCGGCCCCGGCTTGATCTTGTACTTGCAAACTAGCTCCTGCTTTCAAAAAGAGCAAAAGACACAGGAGGCCTAAAAATGCCAACTAATACACTATGTAGAATTACTCACTTCCACATTAATGTTGGCTATATGGCCTTTCAAGGCCATAAAGCCAAAAGTCTTACGCTCAGTGGGAGTTAGAGAGATATTGAATCTGGGTGCTTGGCACACTGAGGACCAAATTCATATACTTCGAGTATTTAAGGCATTGAATGTATACGTTTTGAGAGTGTGAACTCTCGAGAAGGTATGAGCGTCACCTCCCAGTCAAGACTATATTGATTAGAATGCCTCATAGTTGATGTGATAAGCCAGGGCTTGGAGAATTCACTCGAGAATAATAAAACCCAAGTATTTAAAAGAGTATTCGCCCTGTATGGAATGGTCGGCTCATGGGACATGAGCCCGTATCCTGACATGAGACCATTCTATAGCATACGCACCCACAGTCGTATGGGGAAGCCACTCTTCTATAGTATTATTCGACTTCGAAGAGCTAGTGCACATGTGCTTTAAGAGGACCCCTGTATTTGAATAGGAACATGTCCCACAAGGGTGCACCAGTAATCCATTAAACCTCCGGTGACGGGAAGCTATGGCTCAGCGACTTTGATGTGACCAATTATGTGTCCTTGCCATAAACTGTGGAGCATAGGTCCATTGGGTCGGCTTGAGATACCGGTGGAACGTCATTCGGGTTAGCCCAAAGGAAGACTCCGACTAGTGTTATAAGTCTAGAGATCTCATTTACCTTTAACCCAAATTAATCTAAAATTAATAAGAAAAGATTTTATATTTATGAGAAATTGTGTTGAATTTTTGGGATTTTTGGAGAATTTTTCAAATTTTTTTAAACAATAAAAACATGATTTTCAAATTTGTTTGACGTAAATACCAAACAAGGACATCCTATGGGGATGCCACATGGATCCCAAGTGGCCATAGGGATGCCATGTGGTACCCCCACCTCCCCACACGTGGATGACATCATGCTGACATCATATCCATGTGGGGACCTATTTGTCATTAATTCTTTTATTGGTATTATGTTATAACATGTTATCTTATTATTTAAAGTGTTATATATTGTTATGACTTAAGTTTGATTTAAGTCACATGTCTTTTTTTGCTCATATGTGTCATTTTTGGCATGTGTGAAGTCATGGGATTTTGAGAATTAATTTAATTAAGATTATTATCCACATGAATTTGTAGCATGTATATCTTATGTGGCACCACCTTATAGGCTTAACCCATGTGAAACTTTAGTATTGTTAAAATCCTATAGGTGGTGTCATAAGATATCTTATTCATATGTGTGGACGTCCCATATTACCTTTATGTCCATGTCCTTGTATTTTAATGACTCTCACAAATTACTCAAAAATCATGGACATAAGTATAAACATGAATTTGGACTTAATGGGAAATAAAACATGGAGTTATGGGCTTCAAGGTAAAATGACTATAAACCTACGTTTTAAGGAGTGAAAAGTGTCAAAAGCTCATCCATTGATCTTGGTGATAAGATATGGATGAGTGGCTTGGAT